ACAATCATATTCTCCTAAAATATATTTGCACTTTTCGTTTGGATTTAGTGCATCAGACCCCTTCGTAATATGTAAACTATGCGCATTAGCCATTTGTGATTTAATTTTTTTTGAAGACCACTAATGTGTTATAATTAACTATGCGCAAAATCCCTTGTGTTATATTATGACAATGATTTTCATGTTGTTTAATTTATTCCTGAAGGCGATTTTGCATTGGGCCTGATTATTTATCAGAGAGGGGTTTGCCAATTTTTTCTTTAATGTGCACAATTTTCTCTTTAATGTATCTCAAAATTATCTATCATTCTCAATTTAGAAATTTGATAATAAGGTTCACCTTAATACTATTGATTAATTTTGGGATGGAGGAGTTTTAGATTCTTTTATATGAAGTATGATACAACAATATTATGTAAGCATTTAAGGAATGAAGGAACGTTTGCGATTACTTCTACTTCAAAAGAATAAATTTTAAAAGTGATATGAAAAGTGTTTAATAGTAAAAGTGTTTAATACTTGAAAAAAAAAATCTTATTGGTGATTTAAAAAAAAAGTTTGGAAACCGTCTCTCTGTTCTTTAGTGCAGGGGCAAGACTGCGTACATCCAACCCCCTTACCCCATCGTAGGTGGGAACCTTTACGGTAGGGATGGAAATGGGTCGGGTATACCATTACCCGTACGGCCGTACCCACCCCATTATTTGATTTATAATCCTTGTATCCACCCCATTCCCCGCCAGGTAATTTTTTTTACCAGAACTGTACCCGGTTGGAACGGTTTTCCCCGCGGGTAACCACATTATTTAAATGTAATTTTGCTTTTCTAAAACAATATCACTACCAATAAATAACTTAATTATCCATGGACATTTTTTTCCAATAAGCACCGCAAATCAAATCTTATCACAACAATGAAGTTAAAATATAATTACAAAGTCATTATAACAGTTACGGTATTACACATGTACACAAAGAAAAACAGAGCACCACTTAGTAACTTTTATACTCTTATATCATTTACATAGAAAAATTACAACAACTACACAAACTAATCAAAACTAAAGTGAAAGAGAAACTAAAATAATTTATTACATAGAAAATTATAGCAACTACACGACCTAATATCTTCCCGCACAAGTGATACTTCGTATATTTTACAAATGATATGATATATACCTTTTTTTTTTATCAGAAACTACAGTTAATTTGTTCAAATCCTAACTACTCCCTCCGTCCCATTTATATTGTCCCGTTTTACCTTTTCGGAAAGTCCCACTTAAATTGTCTCATACCATATTTGACAAAGATTATGTGGTTCCAAATCATTCTTACTTTATTCTTACTTTATCAATTAATATCAACCACACAAATCCACTTTACTTAATAACCGTGTCACCCTCTTCCGTCCCAATATAAATGGGACGGAGGTAGTATTTTAGAAATGCTATTTTGTGAGAGGGGCCTAAAACACGTACTTAGCAGCAGCATCAAAACCCAATAAATAAATAAATATACACCTCAACCAGTGGCAAAAAAAATCTTTGCTGTCAGTATAGCATTCATTACAGGACTAACGTTTTCATACACGTCTCAAAAAGGAACGGTGAATGGCAACGCATATATTCCCACATCCTGCAAAAACTGGGCGCAAGGGGCTCTCAAAGCCGTTGCACTGCAGTGCAACTCATAGGAGCTCGTCATTGGCTTCATAGACTTCATCTTCTTCGCACATCTCATCTCACTCTCATCACACGTTCCCTTGAATAACCAATCTTCATCATCACTGCAATCAAGAGTGTCGCTCAATCTAGAGGGAATCAATTTCTCTATTAAATCCTTGCACAGTTGTACTACATTTCTTCTCTTTGCATAGGCGTCTCTGTCACTTAGTTTGGATTTTGGAGCAGATAGTGAAATCTTGTCAATGGTATCTCGTGGGACGCCGACAGTAGACGTCAATTCACATTTGGCCATTTGGGACTTTGGGTTGTACATGTAAATCAATTCGGCCCGAAGTTGAACAAAACTCTTCAGCTTGAGCTAGAGAAGTAGAATCATGGTTGTTTTGCTTCTGTAAAGGAAGCCGTATCTTGAACACATTTCCATGATATATACAGTATTTACATAATATATTACTAGTAAATATATAATCTTCTCCGTATTAAAACATACTCCGTATAAGATGATATTACGGGTCGGGTAATGGTGCTGGTAACCATACCCGAACTAAACGGGGCGTTACAACTTAGAGGGCGCCAGGGCGGGTAACGGATCAGGTAAGTATAAAACTGTACCCGCCAGTTTACCCGTTTACATAAATTGGGTATTCCACGCCCCGACGCCCCGTACCCGTTACCCAGTCAACACAATTTTCTCCATTTTGACCAGTTCGGTACAATGCGAGTATCCGTCGGGTCGAGTTAAATTGTCATCCCTATTTTGCAGGCCTGTGGCACTGGGGCGATGATGGTGGTGGTGTCATCCTGCATGTATAATACTGCGTTGCACGGAGTGTTATTATTTTTATCCTGCCAATGCAATAAATCGTAGATAAGTAATACTACGTACTAAGTATCAAATGTTCTTAGTTAAATAAAAAAATTTCGATTTATTAGAACTCTTGACTTAGCGGACGTCTCTCTCTAGGGTTAGGCTCCTTAGCCGCCTAGTGTAGCTTTTCCCTTCCCAATTCGTTTCGGTTCAGCTTTGGCAGAAAAGTTGGTACGGAAACGGAGGTGGTGCAAACTGTTTTCTTGGGTGCTTTCGACAAGTGCAGGGGCATCAATCTTGCGCTTTTTCTTGTTCGAGTTGCTCTTTGTTGTGTGCGACGAAGGCCTGGTTTTCGGATGAGATCTGTTATCTGCTTCGGTGAAGCGGGAAGGCGGATGGAGGCTTCAAACAGCTGGGCAGCGGAGGAAAAAACAACTAGTGACAGTTTTGCTATGAGAGCGGGACAAGGAGGAATGAACGGGCTTCTTGTATTCCAGATTTTGATCGTCAATGGAGAATCAATTGGTGTGGTACCGATGGCAAGGGTTGATCGACGCGATTTGAAGTTTGCTTATTTATCTTTTCTGCATTTTAATTTTCAGATTAAGACGTTTGTGTTTTGTTGTTATTTTATTTTATGCTGTAAGACTTTTGCATTAGGTTTGGGGAATGAGAGGTCTACTGTAATCATCATTGGCTGTATGTTGCCCAATTTAGGTCTAGCGAGTTATATTGCTTTGTCAAAGGTGATTAACTCAGAGTCTCGGCCAAGGGCGGATGGTTACATGTGGTTCTTTTGTTATCCTGTACCCCTGCTGAATGCTATTTTATTAATCTAAAGCCATTTTGACGATAAAAAAAAATGTTCTTAGTTAAATCAGCATACAAATGTTTGGCCACCCGGGACCAAGAACCTAAGCCCTCCCAGTGTTGACTATTAGCTTCTTAAAACACCTTTAGAAAGTAGATTCTTAAAACATTAAGGAGATCAGTGCTAACAAACTATTATTATTATTACTATTATTATTATTATTATATATTATTAAATAGATATAATATATATCATATACTATATACTTATATGTGGGTCAACGGGTGGGTGGATGGAATGGGTTACGGGTCGGGTGATGTGTTGGATGAGCCTTCATCCACACCCGATCCACCCCGTCATCCATTTTTCATCCATATTTTCGGTTCGGGTTGATCGTGTATCCGCGGGTTAAGCGATGTAAAGAAGCATTGCTCATGAGAAGTGTGAAAGAAACATAAAAGGAAAGGTAAATAATGGAAAAGGTGTCGAGCGAAGAAATGATGAAAGTTGTGGATTTAGAGTAGAATATTAGAATCGAAGTAATGAAGAAACTTACAATTGGTATTTCTAATCAATAGATAAGCTAAATGAGTATTTAGCTTATCTAAATGAGTATTTAATACAATGAGTATCTAATCAATAGATAATCAATAGAATCTTTGTTTTAATACATTGACAAAGTATTTATTATAAGGAAATTATTGTTTTACACACCTAAATGAGTAATTGAGTTGTTAAAGTAAATCAATAGATTTATGGATCAATACTTTATACTTGTATTGCCTTTATTGAGTTATTATTTTCTATTTACTTTGCTCAAAATTTGTAATACAATTATATACTTTGTATACCTAGACCCTACTTCCTAGCCGACTAAGAATTGAAAAAAAAAACTAAACTCAACGATGTACAAAAGTAATTCACTAACAAAATGAACTAAATCAAATTGTTAGAAGTAAAATTGAAGATCTAAAATTGAAGTCTATTTGGGGCTTGCCAGACGCCACTATCCGCCATCACTACTTGTCATACTTGTCCGAGTGTTTACAGGGAATTGATATCTAATTCAAACTTTACCATTTATATTAAATACACATATATATATTCTTAATAGACTTATTTTTAAAATTGGAGGCCCCTAAAATTTTGGGGCCCTAAATGATTATCTAGGGAGAATGCCCGTAGAGTATTTCCATTTAAAAGCTACTAGTCTACCATTGGAACATTGCTCTTTCTTTTGCTTGAGAAAACTAATTAATCTAAATGAACTACTAGTTTGAGAAAGAGAATTATTAAATATAGCATTATAAATAATAAATGAAGAGAAAATAGTTATAGCTAGACATTGGAGTATATTTCAATTTTGCTACAAATGCTTATGTGGCTAGTCAAACTATGAAGATAATTAGCTAACCATTGAAAATGCTCTTTGACCGGCCCTGCTCCGTATGATAAGTCATATATTTGGTAATTTGGAAAAGTTCAAAACAAATCATTTTTTTTGTTATTTGTAAACATTTTGATAATATTCATAAAAAAGGCCTTAATTGACTCTATTTTACTAAATGTGCAAGGGGGTTTGTATTAAATTAAATTAAAAGCAAAGCAGTAGCAAACGAATATGATTTGCGCGCGATATTTTGGTAGCAAACTGGCACGGATGAGTCACGGTGAGTATTTCTGCATTTTGCACTCCTTTATAAAGCAGCTCGCCAGTTAGTTTCGCACTTCAGCTGTCAGCGAGAGATTTCATTTCAAATTCCGTTCAGAATTTATCTCTCTCTTCTCTTTCTTTGAATACTCTAATTGTTTCGTTCTATCTCTGGAAAGTTCTCTGAAAATGGTGAGAAATCCGAAATTCATCCATGGATAGCTTTATTGTTATCGTTTTTCCAGCTATCTAATTTGGAATTTCGGCTCACTCAAATCGTTCAGGTGGTCTCGCAGAAGGTGAAGGAAACTGAAATAACAGAGCAGGACTCGCTGCTTCTCGTAAATCTCATTCTGCTTTTCAATTTCAGCACCACATTTTATCATTTTTTGACATAGAAGTAGAGCATCGCATGGAAGTGAACTGGACTAGCCTATTTTAGATTATTTTTTTGAATCACCTCGTTTATACATCCTTTTGGATTATCATTGCGTGGTATATCATTATATCGGATCTAACATTTTATTAATCTCTATGGCTGACTGCATTTGCTTATTTACCAATCGTGTAAGCACTCTCATCTCGCATATGTATATTTACTAAATTGTTTCGGATAATCTGGGTAGGCTTGTGAATGATTGTTTTTATATGAACTGAGGTCTTAGATGATATTCATCTCCACTTCGTTTCAATTGAAATTTCAAAGGTATTCACGTTCTGCTAGTTTTGTGAATAGGCTCCATTTTTTTTGTGGTTGTTCATTGAAAAGTGTTTGTTGTATTTGCCCGGATGCTGGCTTGTTGCTGTAAGCATGATCACTCAGAACTCTGAAAATGATATGTAGTCTGTACTCCTATGTGTTCTAAAAAATCTGAAAATGCTGAGTATACATCTTGCATATGTATACTTACTAAATTGTTTTGAATGATCTGGGTAAGCTTGTGAATGATTGTTTTTATATGAACTGAGGTCTTAGATGATATTCATCTCCACTTCGTTTTGATTGAAATTTCAAAGGTATCCACATTCTGCTAGTTCCGTGATAGGCTCCGAATATTTTTCTGGTTGTTCATTGCAAAGGGTTTGTTGCATTTGCACTGGTGTTGGCTTGTTTCTGTAAGCATGATAACTCAGAACTCTTAAAATGCTATGTAGTATGTACTCCTATGTGTTCTAAAAAGAGAAGTGTACTCTGTTGTTGGAATTCGCCAATAGTGTTGATGAGTTCTATGTACTTATGTAGTATTTGAAAGCAAAAATGATTTTAGTTGAAGGGATATTGATGGCTTCCTGAAGATTTTGAGGAGTGAGCTTCATACACTTGTTTTAATTCTTTGAGAAAGTTGAATCTATATCATTAATGTCTGTCTCAGTCTCTGATAAGTGCACATGCATTATAATTACATGAGAACTCCCCCGCTGAGTGTTTTCTGCAATATTTTGTACAATAGACAAGGAATCTGCTGCGGATTGCAATATTTAATATCAGCTACATCCGTGGCCTTTTTCCTGAGAAGTATTTCAGTGATAAGTCTGTTCCAGCATTGGGTAAGTTGTTGAACAACATTGATAAATTAGCAGAATGGCATTGGTTTCTGAGTCCTTTTTTGCATCATTTGAAACAGAAATGAAGATTAAGAAGCTCATGCCAATGGATGCTGAGTCACGTAGACTGCTTGACTGGATGGAGAAAGGCATGGTTTATCCCAGTTTATCTGTAATACTCTCATTTGTGGGGTTGGCTTCTTTGTCTTGTTATTCATGGTGTTGGTTTATGTTTGTAGGAGTTTACGATGCATTGCAGAAGAAATACTTGAGAACACTATTGTTCTCAGTATGTGAAGCTATAGATGGGCCCATGATTGAGGAATATGCTTGTAAGATTTCAAGATATTATTATTTGCTGTAAAAGAGTTAAACTAGATTTTGAATATTGGATGGAACTATCTCATGATTTTAGATATGAAAGAGGTCGGTCTGAGTTTATGAAAAGAAAGAGTTACCAGATACCAGGGCTTTTAGAGTTTATTGCTTTGATAGAGTTTTCAGGGTCTGAATTTGTTTTATGGTTGGTATATGTCATGAATAAACGGATTCCGGAACATTAAAAAGATGCTAAGCAAATTTCTTGAAAAGATTTTACTGGTTTGACCACTATTTAATCTAACATTTATTTCTGCAGTCTCCTTCAGCTACTCAAGTTCTGATAGCCAAGAAGTTATGATGAATGTGAATCGTTCTGGAACAAAGAAGCGCGGGACGTTTAAATGTAACTCTGATGCTGAGGTAACCGCCAACCAGATGAGGTAGTTATATATACACACATCTTTATATGTGTATATGTATGTATATATCATTTGTTCTTGTTTATCTGTTGATCTCATGCTTATCTCATTTTAATTGTTGGTATCTTAGGAATTCTGCTTGTAAGATGGTTCGTACCCTGGTTCAACTGATGAGAACGTTGGATCAAATGCCAGAAGAGGTGTGTACTGTGTGTTAGCTTCTAAACTAACACCTGTACATGGATTTTTTAACTTTTGACCCTAAACTTGATACATATTTCCTCTTTTCATCTTTTATATCTCAGAGAACTATATTGATGAAGCTCCTTTACTATGACGATATCACGGTATGTGTCATATTTTAATGGGTTTAATTTTAATAGTTAATACTAGCCTATTAAATCTTTATATTGAAGTTTCATCATGAAAGATTTGGTAAGTTCTGATTGTTCATAAAACCTGTAATGTAACTTTTCAAGTGCCTGAATTGCCTTCCCATACCATTACTATTTACTGCATCATCTATTATGGGCTGCAGATAGTACACTCTGGAATATGCGTTTTTTTTTTTAGATTTTTGTTTATAAATCAATGTTTTTAATGTATATGGGGATATGGTCCTGCAATTCAAAGCTCTTTGACTGAGTTTTTGTTTTTACTTTTCTGCTTTTGCATTCAGAAATTTGCACTTTAAAATTCTGTTACTAAAGAGTAAAGAGTTGATTAATTGTGTTCAATGTGTCGTACCAGAAAGCATGATTAGCTTACTCATACATCTTACATCCCACAATGTCACTATATGGTATTGACGACATAATTTGATGCTAATGCAGCCGGCTGATTACGAGCCCCCTTTCTTCAGAGGCTACAAAGAAGAGGAAGCTCTTAATCCATGGACTAAAAGTCCTCTCAAAATGGATGTTGGAAATGTGAACAGTAAACATTTTGTACTTGCTCTCAAGGTAAAGGTTAGGTTGCACTACAGAGGTAATTTGAGGAGCATTTGATGTTAAATGATTTTTCCTTATAATGATTATTTGGACAGGTGAAGAGTGTTCTTGACCCCTGTGAAGATGATAATGATGATAATCATAGTGATAATGTGAGCTTAGCTGCTGACTCTGCCCAGAGAGATGATAGCGACATTGATAGTGAGGTTAAATTCTTCTCAATAGAGTCATCATATCAATTTAAAACCTGATTTATTATTTACATACGGAGTATGATTTTCTTGATGTGCTAAAAGCATTCTCATATTTAATTATGTATTTCAGTCCAGTCAATCTGATGATGATCAATATGTAGTTGCCCCTAGAGGTAACATATTACATATCTCTGATCCCTAAACTTGGCTCTCCAGAAAATACTTTTTATTTTTCAAAATATTCTGTCTTGCATCACTCCACGTAACACACTTCTTTCTTATGATCAGAGAAAGGAGAGAAGGAACAAAATGCTCCTCTAGTTGATGAAGGTAATCTTTTTTCTACATGAAAACCATGTGATAGATCATGAAGGGTTCCCACTTTGAAAGATACAAGAAATAAAAATTTATGTGTGCTTTTTAGGATGTTCAGATGATACACAGGACCCAGCAGAGGATGAGCACCAAATTGGGCGGGTCAGGGATTGGATCAATGCTCACCACCTTGCCAAAGTTGAACTGACTGATGTTTTCTCCAGTTTTCCTGACATTTCAGTGGTAAATACTCTAATATACTTTTATGTATATTTGTTACTGGAAAGTTCCTATTTTATTATTTAAAGTCAATCTAATGCAAGTCTGCAACCTGCTTACTTTTCATTAACCTTTTCAATTATTTGCAGGCTTTGATAGAAGGTACCTGAAGAACATCCTGGTTAAGCTTTACAATAATAATAAAGGAACCTTCTTTATCAATTTGAGTTCGATACTTAATGCATTTATGCTTTTTTTCAGAACTTATGGCAAAGCTTGTCACGGAAGGCGTTGTGTCAAAGACTGATACAGATACTTTTACCATTAACAAGCAGAATGTATATTTTAATTTCTTTTTATCCCTTGGTGCTTCATAATTTACATGTATTTTCTTTACCCGTTCCAGACTCAATCTATCTCTGATATACTAGCACTCCTTAATAATCATAGACATTTTGTTTGGGACAAATTCTGAACTGCAGAAATTCGATGCCGTGAAAGAAGAAATGGACTGTCAGTTTGGGCCAAAAGGCAACAATGCAAAAAAGGGCAGTAATCAAGATTACATGTATATGAAGGTGCTATTTTTTCTCATTCAAATCTGAGCTGGCAATTTTGTCTAGTGTATTTTCAATTTGAAGCAGTTCTCATTTCTACACATCCCAGGAATTTCATTCGTACAACACTTCAACATTTTTTCCACTGATTTTTTAGTTGATTGTGTGGCATTTTAATTTCAGGCTTTATACCATGCACTTCCCATGAACTATGTATCTGTTTCAAAGCTTCAGAGTAAACTTGAAGGGCAAGCCAGTCAACCTACAGTTCGCAAATTAATAGATAAGATGACCCAAGATGGCTTTATTGAAGCTAAAAGCAATCGCAAATTAGGTAGGAATAGTGGAATTACATTTTGCAGTGTCTTTTTGAGGAAGGGTATATTTTCATTCTTCATATTGTACCCCCCTTCCCCCGTTCAGGGAAGCGTGTGATCCACTCAGATCTGACTGAAAAGAAGCTTAGTGAAGTAAAGAAAGCTTTAGAAAAGGATTTTATGGTAATTAACTATCCACTCATAGGCCACTGTCTCCCCTTTTTTGATAGTATAATTTTCTCTCGTGATTTGATGATGCTTTTAATTGATGTTTATTCTTAGGAAGTGGAAAACCATGAATCAGGTAAAAAAAATTAAAAATTGAGTTTTAGGAATTCAGCCATATCATTTCATAACCCACTAACACCATAGTACATTAATTGCACAGTTAACAACCTTAAGGACTTGTCCACATGCGGTGGTCTCCACTCAATTGGGTCAGATGTCACCAGAACAAAGGGGAAATCTGATGCATACCAGAATGAGTCCATTAGGACCGATCAAACCGTGTCTAAGAGGAAGGATCTTGGTAGCACTCCCACAAGCAGGGTTGAGGTTTGTCAAGTTATTTCACTGCCTCTATGTGACGTTCACATTTTTTTTTCACTGATGAGTGATGACTACCCTACAGCCAGTGGCTTCTAGAGAGAGTTTTGTACCTGGACATGATGAAAACGGAAGATCTAATAACAAAGACTCCATCAACAACTGTGACGATTCTGACAATATTATCTGCAGCCGGTCTAGCCAGGGCAAACGTTCTAGGAAAGCAAGCACGGTATATATGCTTCTACTTGTCACCGGGGGGTGGGTGGGTGGGTGGGGGGGTATGCTATTATTTCAAGGTATGTTTAGATGTTGGAAAATAACAGACAAGTGAAAAAAGTGTAAAGCTTAGTTGTTTTCTATCTTAGGTTTTACTCCCTCCGTCCCAGAAAATTCTTCCAACTTTCCTTTTTGGGACGTCCCAGAAAATTCTTCCAACTTCACCTTTTTGATTATTTGTGTGGCTCACATTCATTTCACCTTTTTCTTACACAACTACAACCACACATTTCCACTTTATTCCCACTTTCTTAAACTCCGATCCAAGTCAAACTAGGAAGAATTTTCTGGGACGGAGGGAGTACCTTGCAAAATACAAAATAGAGATGAAACGTGATTATTCTTTTCTTTGAAGTTTGACATAAAATTAGAATATTGATACTCATATACATGAAGAATTTAACAAATGAGTTCGAACAGATTTCTATAACAAACTAATTGAGTAGATCTTTTTGTTTTCGTCCAAATTTTCTTTCATTCTCATTTTCTAGTCAATTTTCTTTCTATAGTACTTTTTAAGTTCCAGATTAGACCTTTACTGCCTGAAAGTCAGAATGTTATCCCGTTAATAACTCATTTATTCACATCATCTGTATTTACAGGTCAAAGAGCCAATTCTTCAGTCTGTTAAGCGCCTGAAATCTCAAGCGGCTTGAAGAGTCGTGGGGACCTTCACAACACTTCTCTCAAGAGTTTCTTTTTACTTGTACTGTTTATAAATATATATATATACACTTATAATTAATGGTGCTCAATATTTGCTCAGACATTGGCATGCATGTAAATTCCCAACAGATAGGGACTGACATGCACTGAACCTTCACATATGTTTCCAATTACTCAGTCTGAACTTTTATCAACTTATTTATAGAATATCGAAAATGTGTACGTTTTTTTCTTGTTTCAAGTGGCAAAAAGTGAGCATATCCTTTCTAATCGTTGTGAGAAATGATACCTTATCTTGGTGTTTCAGTTTCTTGGGCTGCCTTGGAAAATGGTGTTAGAAAAATAGTATTATAATTGCAAGTTTAACCATATAAAAATCCCGAGTTTAAACAAATCACCAGACAAACCGCCAAATGCAAGAAACAAAATAATAATGATAATTAGAATAAATGGAAAAAGAATAAAGAGAAAAAATAAGAAAAACTTATCGTAGGATCGCCCGTTAAAACGGACTGGCCCTGAAGAAAGATAGCCCCCGTATCCCGATAGCTATTCAGATGGGTCTGGCTAGCTCGCTCCCAGGATAATCCTACCACGTTTCAGGCTTGTAGCTATCTTGACTGAAACCCTCGACCGTCGCCAAAATGCCAAATTTGCCAATAGAAGAGATGAGTGCAAAATTATCAAGGAAGAAAGAGGAATCCGTGAAGGTGATAATATTCCTCCACTTATAAGAAAGAAGGGAAGCTTTTGGTTTTTGTTCGTACGTTCAGTAAAAGGAGAACTCTCAAAGTGTTCTTTAGCACTCAAAGTATATACGGAGTACTATGTATTTCAGTTACATGGGTTTTTCTTTTTAATTTGGAAATCAGATTTTAAATATCAGAGAATGTAACTGAAGCTAGGTGTTAATAATCTGGCACGATCCAAGTAATTCGGATAGCCTTAATAACCATCTTGACCAGGCAAACAATTTGAAATCAGATTACAAAATCCGTTTGGTCCATTTACTTGGCCAACAATTTTGAATATCACTTATTCAAATTATTCATTTGGTCCCATAAAGCTCCATCTCTAATATACGTTAGCAAAATATGAAAAGATTGTGATTTCAATGAAGAATTTATGTCCGGTAAACAAATGCCTTTTATCTAAACATATTATTCGAACCGTCACTCAAGTGAGTCTGTAGGTGTAGAATAATATTAATAAATCTTAATGTGATACTTAAACAATAATGTCCCTTATCACATAATATTTTGAACCCAAAAAAAATACAATAAAATAAAAGGCTATTTATTATTAACACAGACACTTAAATTCACTTTCTTGTTACATCAACTTTTCAAAATTTACAACTATGGATTCTAATCATTAGATGAAATAAATCCAACCATGTAAATTGTTCTTCTGATGTATAATAAGACACATCTAATCGTATTTTATACATATTTTCTTAGGACTCGAAAACAAGAGACCTTAAGAAAATAACTTATTTCATCATATTTCCAACAATCCCCCACAAATTCATAGTTGTAGACTAAACTCTAATGGACATAGTGTGCTTTCAAATATGGTACCTTCCGGTTTGAACCAAGTTCTAAGCTTTTACCCCTAACCCCCACAGGAACTGAGTGAACATAGTTCTTGAACTCGAACCTTGAATGTGTTGGCGTGGGATAAAAGCAACACACTAACGGCAATGACAACGATCTATAGGGTTGACGCTTTACGGCCATGCGTCCCGATCCTGTCTCAAGAATGTCATCGAGAATTAACCCTTATTCTCTTATTGCGGCCACACAATAACATTCTCATAGTTGGACATCTCCAAGAGTGCATTGCTAACACTCTGCTTTTAAAGCTTGATCCCATTCAGAGTCTTAAACTCTTACTAACTTAGCAATTTCAGCATCTCTAAGGCTTATCAAGGAATAGAACTCATTAAAAAAATGTTTTAATGAGATGCACAATTCACTCTACGGTTTGTTTATACCACATTGAACCTACTTTATGGGATCTCCACTCAGATAGGTTAGGTTGCTACCGTAGATGAATAGTTCTTGGGTTTCAGTCTCATTCCCAACTTTGATTTTATCACTTGATTTAAATCAAGTCCTTTTGTTAAAGGGTCTACTGTATTATCTTTGGATCCAACAAAATCAACAACAAACACCCCTTGAGACACAAATTTCCTTATAGTTTTTAATCTAACTTGAATGTGTCTCCTAGTCTTTTGATTATACTTGGTACTCCTAATTTTTGCAATTGTACTTATACTATCAATTGAAGGCAATTGATAGTTTTTAATCGGAACCCCTGACTTATGTTATTTTTCTGTTTTTTATTAGTTTTGAACTCTGTTTTGTTATTTCATTCCCCTTCTAGTAGCAGGAACAGCGTTGTTGTGTATGAAGTCTACCAAATTCCGGGGTTAGCGAGATGGGCCGCTAGTAAGTGCGATTCCAGCTCCGAGTCTCATCACAGTGTAGCCTTTGTTATGACGATTTTGTATCCGGACCTCAGTTGTGATAATTACGTTATCTGTTCTAAAAAAACCAATTAAATTAATTGAATGCACGAGGACTATAAATTTGGGTAATTCTAAATGCACACCGGTTTTTACTAAGGACAGCCTCCCTTTTTAATTTATTTTTAACAAAATGATTGATTTTACAAACTTGCCCTTAGTAAAAGTATTTTTATTTCTACTTGCTAAACATATCCTTACACAGGCCTAGGCCTAGACCGGAAGTTATGTTCTTAATACAGTAGTCCATATGACCATATATAGATGGTGAAGGCTAAATAAGGCCCAATCTTGCAGAGGAGGTGGAGGCTACGGTGGTAGGAGGCACAAAGAAGACGTTGTGTCGGAGGTGGTGGGAGGCACAAAAAGACGCGGCCTCGGAGGATGCATAGGTGATCACCGCAAAGGCTGTGACGCCGGATATGGAGGTGGCGGCGATGGACGTGACTGAAGCTATGGCAGCGCCGGTGGCTGCTATGGCGGTGGCCGGCGGTGTTACTCCAGGAGAAGAAAGAGCTAACTACTCTCATGATCTCTGATTTGAATACACACATGTATATATATTGAATTAAAGATAGCAACGATTAATCAAAGATGCACTCTGATTTAGTGACTGGATTTTAAAATATAATACTGATACGGTGCTCTAAAAATGGGCATTTGATGCACTCTCAGTGATTCATCACCTAGGCATTTTGAAAATGACAAAATAAGTGACTCAATTACTAGTGAATGATAAATAACACTGACATGGTGTTTAAGCTTCACAAGAACAAATTACTTCTAAGAACTGATAAGGCAATGAAAAGCAGATCCGAAATGATGGATGAACGAATTAGCCCTCTCATTGGCAGCAGAATTTTGGACCAATTCTGCAACAGAGGTCCAAATAGAATGAAAGACAATCCACCCTCCAATTCGATGAAGATGAGAAGCCAGTTGACGGACAGTTGAACCAGTGAAGTTGCAAAAGGGTGATGCTAGAAGACTAGAAGGCTCGAAGCGTCGAACTAGATCAAAGAAGACGTTGGTATGGAAAAGTGATCGGGGATATAATAGGCATTACATTTCTATTTAATTAATTAATTTTAATTATGGGCTGTGAGTTGCAATTATGTGGCTGCATTTAGAATTACCCATAAATTTTTAATGGAAGAATGATCAAATAAACTCTATTATTATGAAAATGTCAATTAAGCCCACTAACTCAAATATTACCCAATTAAGCATTTGAACTTTAAAACACGCTCGAATCGCTCTTTTTACCGGGTAAACAACCGGTAAAATGCTTTTGACGGCAGTGACACTATTTTTTTCTTTTTTCTTAATTTTTTCTTCCTTTTTCATTCCTCTCTCTCCCCGTTCACTCTGTCTTCGCCACTGATCTAAAAATCGATCTAGTCAGATCGACTAATCGGCCTAGTCAGCCCTAACTTTAGAGGACTAATCTGAATAGTCGACCGAAAAAATCGGTGTAGTCGATCAAAAAATTGGCCTAATCGAACACTTAGGCGCTAGGCTCCAGGCACCGGCCCCTCAACTGTCCGATTAGCGTCTAGCGAGTTTTAGAAGAATGGTCTTCACCCAACCTGTTTCTCCCTCCGGATCCATGTTATTCTTTTGCTTTCATTCTTGAGTGCAATTTAATTTGTTCATCCCATATAATCATCGCACAAACGTATTAAAGTGATATGTGTATATGAGGTTGTCTCCATTATTGAAGATGCCACATAGAGACAAACTCATATACAAATATATCACTTAATCCACACGAATCCTTAGGAGATGCCACATGGCAACAAGGGAGGGAAGGGAACGAACCCTTGGGAGATGCCACATGGAGATTAGGGCTGAGCACGAGTCGGGTTCGGGCGGGTCGGGTCTGCGTACCCTTAACCCGTTCGGGTTTTTTAAGCTAAATACTAGGCCCGACCCTTTGATATTTCAAATCGGGTTTTTCAGATATTTGTAAATCGGATATTATCAGATATCGGATCGGGTTTCAGATATTTCGGTTATATTAAAAAAAATTATAATTGGATAATTAAAGTGTTTGAATGCCACTTTGACAAAAATTCTACAAACTAGTGCACTAAACATTCAAATCACGCAAATAATTTAATACAAATTGCATAAATAATTACACAAATAATTGAACACAAGTTTTAATTTAACATATTCAAAGTACACACTACATAATTTAATATATTTCGAATATTTCGGTTATATTAAAACACATTATAATTGGATAATTAAAGTATTGGAATGTCACTTTGACAAAAATTGTACACACTAGTGCACTACACATTCAAATTACAAAAATAATTTAACACAAATTGCACAAATAATTACACAAATAATTGAACACAAGTATTAATTTAACATATTCAAAGTACACACTAAATTATTTAATATATTTCGGATATTCGGGCGGGTCGGGATTTTACAAACCCTACCCGCCACTCGATCTAGGCCCAATACTAATCGGATTTTCGGTTTCGGATTTTTCGGGTCAGATATCCATTTCGGTTCGGATATTATCCGAAAAAAACTTCGGGTTTTACGGGTCGGTTCGGGTTTTGCTCAGCCCTAATGGAGACAATCTATTTTACAAATATCACTAATCCACACAGATATCCTAATTCAGACTTAATAGAAAATAGTAAATAGTCTGTAATACTACATACATAATAAATAGAAAGTGTAAATTAA